GTTCAAGCCAATCTCCTGCCACAGCCTCCTGAGTAGCGGGAACTATGGGCATGCCACTGCACCCAGCTAATTGTTATATTTTTAGTAGAGACAAGGTTTCATCATGTTGGCGGGCCAGGCTGGTCTCGAACTCCTGACCTCAAGTTATCCACCCACCTCGGCCTCCCAAAGTGCTGGGATTATAGTCATGGGTCACCATGCCCAGCCTCAAACTTTTTCATTACGTCTGTTACGGTGATCTGTGATCAGTGGTTCGGGTTACCATGAAAAGCATTTATATAAGACAGTGAATTTAATCGGTGAATGTTGAGTGTGTACTGACAGCTCCAGTGACCGGCAATTTCCAGTCTCTCTCTCCAGGCCTGTCTATTTCCTGAGACACAATATTGAAATTAGACCAGTGTCCCTATAGTGTCCTCTTAAGTGTTCAGGCAAAAGAACCAGTCAGTTCTCTCTCTCTTATTTTAAATCAAAAATTAGAAATGATTAAGCTTAGTGAGAAAGGCATATCAAAAGTTGAGATAGGCGAAAAACTAGGCCTCTTATGCCAAACAACAGTTAGCCAAGTTATGAATGCAAAGGAAAAGTTCTTAAAATTAAAATCGACCAGGTGTGGTGGTTCGCCTGTAATTTCAGCGCTTTGGGATGCTGAGGCGGCCGTATCACAAGGTCAGGAGTATGAGACCACCCTGGCCAGTATGGTGAAACCCCATCTCTACTAAAAAAAAAAAATTAGATGGGCATGGTGGTGTGCGCCTGTAGTCCCAGCTACTCGGAAGGCTGAGGCAAAGAATCGCTTGAACCCGGGACTTGGAGGTTACAGTCAGCGCGGATTGCGCTGCTGCACTCCAGCCTGGGCAACAGAGCAAGACTCCATCTCAAAAAAAAAAAAAAAAAAAAAAAAAAACCCCAAAAAAAAAAAAAAAAAAAAAAAAAAAAAATTGCTACTCCAATGAACACATGAATGATAAGCCAAACAGCCTTATTGCTGATAGGGTGAAAGTTTTAGTGGTCTAGATAGAAGATGAAACTGTCCGTGACGTTCCCTTAAGTGAAAACCTAATCCAGAGCAAGGCCCTACCTCTCCAGTTCTGTGAAAGGTGAGGAAGCTGCAGAAGAAGAGTGGAGCTAGCAGAGGTTAGTTCATGAGGCTTAAGGAAAGAAGCCACCTCTGTAACAGGAAAGTGTTGAGGTGTTGGTGTAGAAGCTGCAGTAAATTATACAGAATATATAGCTAAAGTAATTGATGAATGTGGCCACACTAAATAACAGACTTTCAATGTCAATGAAACAGCCTTATAAGGGGGAAAGATGCATAGCCAGGACTTTCATAGCTAGAGAAAGGTCAGTACCTGGCTTCAAAGGACAGTTGATTCTTGCTAGGGGCTAATGCAGCTGGTGACTTTGTTTTAACCAGTGCTCATTTACTGTTCTGAAAATCCTAGGGCCCTTAAGAATTATGCAAAAATTGGCCGGGCGCAGTGGCTCACGCCTGTAATCCCAGCACTTTGGGAGGCCAAGGTGGGTTGATCACGAGGTCAAGAGATCGAGACCATCCTGGCCAACATGGTGAAACCCCGTCTCTACTAAAAAATACAAATATTAGCTGGGCATGGTGGTAGGATTATTACTAAACAGTAATCCCACCTACTCTAGAGGCTGAGGCAGGAGAATTGCCTGAACCCAGGAACCAGAGGTTGCAGTGAGCCAAGATCACCCCACTGCACTCCAGCATGGGCCACAGAAGATGACACTGTCTCAAGGAAAAGAGCCAGACACTTGGCTCATGCCTGTAATTCCAACACTTTGGGAGGCAGAGGCAGGTGGACCATGAGCCAGGAGACCCTGGCTAACTGGGTGAAACCCCACCTCTACTAAAAATATAAAAAATTAGCGGGGCATGGTGGCACACACCTGTAGTCCCAGCAACTCAGGAGGCTGAGGCGGGAGAATTGCTTGAGGTGGAGGTTGCAGTGAGCCAAGATTGCGCCACTGCACTCCAGCCTGGGTGGCAGAGTGAGACTCCGTCTCAAAAAAAAAAAAAAAAAAAAAAAAGTAGCCTGAAGATGTTACTGAATTGCTGCAATTTTGTAATAAAACTTGAACAGATGGGGAGTTGCTTCCTGTGGACAGGGAAAGAAAGTGGTTTCTTGAGGTGGAATTTACTGGTGACGGTGCAGTGGACATTGTTGAAAGGATTATAACAAAGGATTAGAATATTTTTATAAACTTTGCTAATAAAGCAGTGGCAGGGTTTGAGAGGATCGAATCCAGTTTTGAAAGAAGTTGCACTGTGGGTGAAATGCTGTCACACAGCATTGCACGCTGCAGAGAAATCTTTCATGAAGGAAGAGGCAACTGATGCGGCAAACTTCATTTTAAGAAATTGTCAGGCTGGGCATGGTGGCTTATGCATGTAATCCTAGCACTTTGGGAGGCCAAGTCGGGCAGATCACGGGGTCAACCTGACCAACATGGTGAAACCCTGTTTCTACTAAATATATAAAATTAGCTGCGCATGGTGACAGGCACCTGTAATCCCAGCTACTCAGAAGGTTGAGGCAGGAGAATCACTTGAACCCAGGAGGTGGAGGTTGCAGTGAGCCCAGATTGTGCCATGGTACTCCAGCTTGCACAACAGTTCAAGACTATGTCTCAAAAAAAGAAAAGAAAAA